TGGGGTGACTTTTCCCCCTTTTTTGCCCCCCCAGGACGATCAGCTCCTGGAGGACTCCAAGACTTTGGGCGACTGCGGCTTCACGAGCCAAACGGCGCGGCCACAGGCCCCGGCCACCGTGGGGCTGGCGCTGCGGAACGGGGGTGGGGGTCCCCAAAAACGGGCTTGGGACCCCAAAAACGGGCTTGGGACCCCAAAAATGGGGTTGGGGTCCCAAAAATGGGGGTGGGGGTCTCCAAAAATGGGTTTGGGGTCCCTAAAATGGGTTTGGGGGGCCTGAAATGGGTTTGGGGGTCCCGAAAATGGGGTTTGGGGTCCCAAAAATGGATTTGGGGGTCCCAAAAAGGGGATTTTGGGAAGGTTTGGGGTCCCAAAAATGGGTTTGGGGGTCTCAAAAATGGGGGTGGGGGTCCCCAGAACGGGGTTTGGGGTCCCCAAAGATGGGTTTGGGGTCCCAAAAATGGGATTCTGGGGAGGTTTGGGGGGTTCAAAAATGGGTTTGGGGTCCCAAAAATGGGTTTGGGGTCCCAAAAATGGGTTTGGGGGTCCCAAAAAGGGGATTTTGGGGAGGTTTGGGGTCCCAAAAATGGATTTGGGGTCCCAAAAATGGATTTGGGGTCCCTAAAATGGGTTTGGGGGTCCCAAAAAGGGGATTTTGGGAAGGTTTGGGGTCCCAAAAATGGGGTTTGGGGTTCTCAAAAATGGGTTTGGGGTCCCAAAATGGGTTTGGGGTCCCAAAAAGGGGATTTTGGGGAGGTTTGAGGGGTTCAAAAATGGGTTTGGGGTCCCAAAAAGGGTTTGGGGGTCCCAAAAACGGGGGTGGGGGTCCCCAGAACGGGGTTTGGGGTCCCAAAGATGGGTCTGGGGTCCCAAAAAGGGGATTCTGGGGAGGTTTGGGGGGTTCAAAAATGGGTTTGGGGTCCCAAAAATGGGTTTGGGGTCCCAAAAATGGGATTTGGGGGGTCTGAAATGGATTTGGGGTCCCTAAAATGGGTTTGGGGTCCCCAAAGATGGGTCTGGGGTCCCAAAAAGGGGATTTTGGTGAAGTTTGGGGTCTCTAAAAGGAGATTTGGGGGCTCCTGGGGAGGTTCGGGAGTTTCGGGATTTTTTTCCCCATTTTTTGTGATTTTTTTCCCATTTTTCACCCTTTTTTCCCATTTTTTTCCTGTTTCTTCCCGTTTTTTGTGGCGTTTTTCCCGTTTTTCCTGTTTCTTCCCCCATTTTTTCCTGTTTTTCTGTTTTTTGTGATTTTCCTGTTACTTTCCCCATTTTTTTTGCCATTTTTTCGCCATTTTTTGTGATTTTTTCCCCGTTTTTTCCCGTTTTTTGTGCTTTTTTTTCCCATTTTTCCCCGTTTTTCCTGTTTCTTCCCCCACTTTTTCCCGTTATTCCGGTTTTTTGTGTTACTTTCTCCATTTTTTTGCCATTTTTTGTGATTTTTTTTCCCATTTTTTCCCCTTTTTTTCCCGTTTTTTTGTGATTTTTTTCCCCGTTTTTCCCGTTTTTTGTGGTTTTTTCCCGTTTATTGTAATTTTTACCCCATTTTTTCCCGTTTTTTGTGTTTTTTCTCCGTTTTTTCCCATTTTTTGTGATTTTTTCCCGTTTTTCCCCGTTTCTCCCCGTTTTTTCCCATTTTTGTGATTTTTTCCCCGTTTTTTTTCTCCCTGTTTTTTTGTGATTTTTTCCCGTTTTTTGTGTTTTTCTCCCCATTTCTCCCCTTTTTTTCCCGTTTTTTGTGTTTTTCTCCCCGTTTTTTCCCGTTTTTTGTGTTTTTCTCCCCGTTTTTTCCCATTTTTGTGATTTTTTCCGAGTTTTTTGTGTTTATCTCCCCGTTTTTTTGTGATTTTTTCCCGTTTTTTGTGTTTTTCTCCCCGTTTTTTGTGTTTTCCTCCCTGTTTTTTCCCGTTTTTTGTGTTTTCCTCCCCGTTTTTTCCCGTTTTTTGTGTTTTCCTCCCCGTTTTTTCCCGTTTTTTGTGTTTTCCTCCCCGTTTTTTCCCGTTTTTTGTGTTTTCCTCCCCGTTTTTTCCCGTTTTTTCTGTTTTCCTCCCCGTTTTTGCCGACTTTGCCCCTCTTTTGGCAGAGGACTCGTTCGAGGGGCTCCGGATCGAGCCGTTCTCCAGCCCCCCGGAGCTGCCGGACGTGATGAAACCCCAGGACTCGACCGGCGCCGCCACCGACCCCCCCCTGCCCTGAGAAACGAACTTTGGGGCAAATTCCGGGCATTTCGGGACATTCCGGGATGTTCTGGGAAATTCTGGGAATTTGGGGGGGATTTTTTTGGAGATTTTTTGGGGAATTTTGGGGGAATTTTTTTTGATTTTTGGGGGAATTTTGGGGAATTTTTTTTGGGAATTTTGGGGATTTTTTGGGGATTTTTTTTGGGGATTTTTGGGATTTTTTTGAGATATTTTTTTGATTTTTGGGAATTTTTGGGGAATTTTTTGGGGAATTTTGGGGAATTTTTGGGGGGATTTTTTTTTGATTTTGGGGGAATTTTTTGGGGGATTTTGAGGATTTTTTGGGGGAATTCTGGGAATTTTCGGGGATTTTTGGGGGGAATTTTTGGGGATTTTTTGGGGGATTTTGGGGAACTTTTTGGGGAATTTTTGAGAATTTTTTTGGGGAATTTTGGGGAATTTTTTGGGGATTTGGGGGATTTTTTGGGGGGAATTTTTGGGGAAATCTGGGGGAATCTTGGGGATTTTTTTTTGGATTTTTGGGGAATTTTTTGGGGAATTTTTTGGGAATTTTGGGGGAATTTTGGGGGGTGGGGGAGGGGGCGGATCCTGAATTTTCTCCCCCAATAAAAATTCCTGGAGACACCTGGGGGGGGTCGGAGCGAATTTTTGGGGTGAAATTGGGGAATTTTGGGGCCCCAAAGGGAATTTTGGGGGAAAATTTGTGGAAATTTGGGGATTTCGAGGGAATTTTTTGGGGGGATTTTTAGGGAAAATTTTGGGAGGAATTTGGGGCTTTTCGGGGTCTCCCCATTTCCCCTCCCCCACCCAAGCCCCGCCCCCTCCCCAAGCCCCTCCCCCACACAGAGACCACGCCCACTTTTCCATTTTGGGGCCGTTTTAATGTAAAACAGGAACCGGAAACACGAAAAAAGGGGGCGGGGCTTGAGGAGGAAAAGGGGGCGGGGCCAGGAAGAAAAGGGGGCGGGGCCAAAGCGGGGACCGGGTCGGAAATGGGCGGAGCTTGGAAAAAAGGCGGGGAACATCAGGACACAAAAGGGGCGTGGCCACCAGAGGGGGCGTGGCCAGAAAAGGAGGGGCGGGGCCTGAAGTCGGAGGGGGCGGAGCCTCGAGGGGGGCGGAGCTGCAAGAGAAGAGAGGGGTGA